CCCCATGTCCCCCAAAGCTTCTTGTATTACCCTCACGATCACACGGCATGAAAGACTTTGGTTATTAAATCAAATACATGCTTTTCTAAATTTTCAATCCTATTAAGCTTTTTGAATAGTGAGTACATGCTCCAAATACAGCTAATTATTTCCTCCCATGCCTAAGTCTAGGGACTTGGGGCTGGGAGCCACCCACCAAGACCATAAACACCTTGAGACTACAGTCCCGTCTCTACACTTCCCACAGCACCTTACTCAGCGCCTTGCACTTGGAACACACCTAGTAACTGCTTGTGGCATAAACAGAAAGTTTCACACACATGACAGGGGGAGCCCTCTCCAAATGAGCCGGTGTGCAGAAAGGGGTCATTGTTATTGGGAGGCAGAGCTGGAGGCGAGTCCTTCTCCCCTCCCCATCCACGAGGAGCAGCACCCCCAATTATACCAGCTGGCCTCCAACTTCTGAGTCGATTAAAAAGCACCGTCTCTCCAGTGTCTGGAGGAAACTCCTGGAAGGAAAGTTTACCGCCCGAAGTTGGCTTTTGACTAGAGTCTTAACAAGAGGCCTCAGCAGGCTGTGGCGAGAGAGACAATGTCACTTAGAGGAGCAGCTTGAAGCGGCAGTTAGGAGAAGAATTATTTTAATGAATACATTTCCTTTCAATTGTATGGGAATATCAAGATCCCATTAGAATGGGGAAGCAATTAGAACTAATAAAGATGAATGCACAGTGCTCAGTGCGTGCGGAATAACAAGCAGCCAACAAAGGGGCTCCGGAGAGGCTGCTCTAATCCAAGCGAACGGGCAGCCAGCGGAGGCAAAGGCTCTGTTCAGCGCTCAAAGCCCCTGTGCCTGCACATTCTGATCACGGCCAGCAAATGGCGTGAGCTGGGTGTTGGAGGCGGGGGTGGCCCCCCACCCAGCCCAGCCCCTTGGGGACCGAGATGGGCTGGTGGCAGCCCCTTGGCAACAGCCATTCAGGCCAGGCCCTGGCTCCTGGCCAGCCTCTTGCCTGCCCCTCGCACTGGGCCTCATTGTGTCCAGGTGGCAAATGCCTTCTCGCCAACTCTCCTTCGAGGGTTAGAGGGGGTGGGACAGTGGAGGAGGGAGTAAATGAGTAGGGGGCCCTCAGCCCCCAGCATCTCTCCTCTCCCTTCCCCCGCTGGCCAGGGTCTGCTCCTCCTCTGAGTTTGGTGTTATGTTACAGACACTGGTGAGTCACAGGCAGCCAAACACAGAAGTACTGTTGCTTACACAATTGCTCTTCAAACAGTAACAAACAATTTTCATTATCCGAGTCAGATCGAATCATCCGCCTGGCCATCCTGCCTCAGTCACAGCCACACAAACAGGACCCAAAGCCTCACGCTCTGCCCACTCTGCTCTGACAACACTGGGCTTCATTTTGCTTCGGCCTGGGATAAGGGACAAAGCGCTTCCTCTGATCCCTTCTCTGAGCCGGATCTGCTGCACGGCTGTCAAGGCTGTCAGGACAAACTGGGAAGACACAGGGACCTACGCGGCTTGGGGCCCGCTCAGATGGGGGCTGACATGTTACTCAGCACCTGGGTGAAGAAAGCGTTCGAGAGTTTGGAGGACTCAATTGCCAAGTTTAGAAGGAATCCAACAAGATAACCCTGGCTCCCCACCAAAGTACTCACTGGCCTCGAATGGAGTGTCAGTACTTGACATTTCTTTATTTAATCTTTTTGGCCAGGCAGTTTTTTCAACTAGGAATGTGTAAGCTCATTCCAAACTGTCTGTCTGAGAGGCCAGTCACACTCATTACTGGGATTTTTCTACCACTTCTCTTAAAAAAAAAGTCTGTAACATTTTATACTTGTTTCTTAAAGGTAGAGCACTTTAAAAGCATATTTACATTTATAATCTCATTTGAGCCTCAAAATCGCCCCAGAGGATGGGCAAAGCAGCGTTTGTTGGGTCTACAGATGAGGATTAGTGGCCCAGAGAGGTTCAGTGTCCTGTGCAAGGTCATGGATAGGTAAGGATCTGACTCAGTGTTCGGACTAACTCCTTTCCCACACTCCCACACAATGCTAGACATTCCAGGACAGTTCGTTCTGCAGTTCTGTTTCCAGCACAACTCCTACCCTTTTCACTCACTAAATTATACTAAGCACTGTGTGCTTTCTCAGCCCATAGTCCAGGCTACCTGAGGATACTTCCTCATGAAGGTTCTAACCTAAAACTCACCAAAGTGTTTTACCATTCCCCAACCAAAGAGATATTCCTTGCTCCCATTTTGACAGCTTGGGGAAGTATTGAAAACCCTGTCCAGGGCTGGGGATTTAGCTCAGCAGCACAGCACCTGCCTGGCAAGCGCAAGGTCATGAGTTTGATTCCTGGTACCAGGAGAAAAAAAAACCCTGTCGAGTATATGATGGCTCAATCAAAACTGGAAAACCAACTATTTAGGACCCTTCAGGATGATGTTGTAGCACCCAGGGACCGGCAAGTGCTAAAGCAAAGTCCATTTCCTTTCATACTGATCACCACCTCCTACACCTAAAGGCCTATTTGTTAATTTTAGAAAGTCTTTATTTTTATAATTTTAGCTCTAATTTATATGCCATGGAATACACAGGTATTAAGTATAGAGCTTGGTAAGTTTTGACAAATATATGTATTTAAATCAGGATACAGAACATTTCCATTACCCTAGAAAGTTCTTGGATAGCCACTCCAGTCAACTCCACACTAAGTCTCCATCATCCTAATTTTTATCACCATACATTAGTTTATCCCGCCGTGAATATCCGATAAATGGAATCATATTAGATATATAACTTGTTTCTTCCTCCTTTTATGGTACTCGGGGTCAAACCCAGGGCTTTTGCACTTAGCTATGTCCCCAGCCCTTTTTAATTTTTATGTTGAGAGCGGATCTCACTAAGTCACTAAGCTGCCCAGGCTGGATTAAAACTTGTGATCCTTCTGCCTCAGCCTGCCAGAATGCTGGGTTTATAGGCATGCACTACCATGTCTGGCTGTATCTTTTTCCTTTCATTCAATGTGTCTGCCAGATTCACCCATGTTGTAGTTTGTTCCTTTTTATAACAAATAAGACATTTTTTTCATTCAGTTTTAAAATCCAGCTATATTACTAATTTTTCCCTCAAAATTTTTTCCATTAAATTTATCTACTGCATTGTCCTTTATGTATATGTCTTCTGCATGTCTTCTTGGCCATGCCTGCAATGACAAAAACATGTAGACAGATTATTTTTACCTCTAGCACTTTCCTTTTAGGTAGGGGTGGCTGACTAGGTTGTCCAGCATGGCAGTCACGAGCACAGGCTTCAGAGTAGGCAGATCTGGGTTTACATTTCCGGTTTAGTGCACAACAAACGGGTAGTCTGAGACAGGTGACTTAACCTCTCTGTGACTGTTTTCCCATTTGTAAAATGAGGATAATAATACCTTCCTAATAAGGATTTGTGAGGAATAATTACATTGTACATAAAATGCTTGGCATAAGGCAAACTAATAATGGCCTCAAGCTAGACTATAATAAACATCCTCCTACTTCATTCACACACTTTCAGTTTTTGTAAGTCATATATTAATGGATATATATTTTTAAAAAGACATATTTCATGTTACTATCTGGAAAAGTCTGTCTAGACTTAAAGCTTACTTAAAATAAACTATTTCCTAAGGAACAGAATAAAGGCTTCCACCATTTATTCCTTGACAAGTATATACTGAGTGCCAACTTTGAGAGGCTCTTCAAACGATTAAAAACATGGCCCTAGCTTTTAGGATGTTTAGTTTGGTGAAGGTAGGAACATAAAAACAAAAATAATTACAATACAAAGTGTGGTAAATAATAATAACAATTACCATCTGTTAATGTAGTGATTAAGAGTATGCTCATACTGTATGGGTTTAAATCCCAGCTGCAAGATGCCGGGCAAGTTACTTAACCTCTTTGTGTGGTACCACACTTGTAAAATGTGGATAATACTACTTACCTAGCAGGGTAAGTACTCAATAATAATGCAGCTAACATTTATGGAATACTCAGAATGTGTCAAGCACTGTGTTAAATGCATATGTGTATTACTTTACATTATCTCTAAATACTATTATACCCATTGTTCTGATAAGGCAACTGAAGGTCAGGGAGTTTAGTAATATCCTCAAGATTATGTAGCTACAAAATACCAAATGCTACAGGAAAAATACAATCATTTATAAAATGAGGATGATAATTAAAATAAAATGAATTAATATTTGAAAAGTGCTTAGATCAGAACCTAGCCTATATACATGGGTGTCAAAAAACCAGAAATTGTTATGGTGATTCAGAGATGATAGTAAACCAATTCCATGCACGGTGACTAAGGAAGACTTTGGAAAGGAGACGTTTAAACTGGGCCCCAAGAGTAGATAAGTTTGGCAAGGAACACCAGAAGTCAGGGCTGGGGAGGCTGGAACACTTGCCTTTTCTCCAACTATTCACTATTCCTCAATTATATCTTACCATTTTCCTCTTATTGCCATAGAACCTGCTGTCCTTAACCTCATTATAATTATCCATTAACCAATACTTCTGGATGCCTCCATGTTCCCCTCCGGTCCCAGTTCCTATTCTCCATTATAATCCTCCAAACTGAATTACCAGCTTTTAGAAGGGTCCACTCCAACACATCCTCTACACTGCCACCAGAGACAAAAGACACAGACCTGACTCACTCTATAGTCTTTCCCTATTGTGTTCAGAATAAACTTCAACTTGTCTAGCATCCTGGTCCAGGCCCTTCACTAACTGGCCTGCGAAGCCTTATCTCCCAGTCTTGGTCTCCATGTACTCTACACTTGAGCCACAGGAAAGCACTCAAAATCAGGGCTATCAGCACTTATTTAAAAAGAAAACAAAACCCATTACTACTTCATCCCTTGCATACTGGAACATGTCTTGAATGAAAAAACCCCAGTTACATTCCCTTTCCCTTTAACTTTCCCAACCTAGAAGGTAGCACACATCCATAACCCAGAGAGGACCGGAAGAGGAGGAGCTTCGCTCGGACCTGGGGCCGCCATCTTGGCTGAGGTGGCCGGAAGTGTCCGGAGCGCGGGCGCGAACTGAGGCTGCGCAGCGGCTGCCGGTCTGGGGCTTCCGCGGCGTTATGACAGCGGTTCCCACGCTGTGGAGCCCCGTCCGGCTGCTACACGGGCCCCTCTGCCGTTACACCCACTCCTGCCGCCGTCCAACCCTTCCGTCGGGGTTTGCACAGCGGTTCGCACGCCCCTCGGCTCTTCTACGCGCTGTTCCGCCTGCCTGCCCGAAAACATGCTGCAGAACCCCGAGCGCGGGGGTCTCCCGGACCCTCGGGCAGAGGGGGAGCAGCATGGCGGCCGTGACGGTGAGACCCAGGCCTTGACCGTCTCTCAGGAGGGGGCTTCGAGCCCCCTCCTACAGGAGACCCCCAGGGGGGACCTCAGCGCGGTGAGGTAGGACACCGCTGCGGAGCCCGCCCCCGCCCAGAAAGGCGCCAAAGTCCTGACGCGGTGCCCGGTCCGCCGCCGCCTGAGCCGGACGGTGGCCGAGTGGGTGCAGTTTTTGCTGGCGGAGGACAGGAAGAGTCCCATCACACGCTCCGAGATGGTGAAATGAGTTATCGGAGGCTTGAAGGCGCGCTTCCCGGAGATCATCGCGAGGGCCGCAGAGCATTTGCGGTGTGCGGTTGGTTTCGAGCTGAAACAGCTTGACCGGCAAGCCCCACACTTGATCAGAAATCTCACCTGATTACATCCTGATCAGAAATCTCACCCTCTAGAGGAGGAGGAGGATCTAGGAGGAGATGGCCCCAGATTGGGTCTCTTAGTGATGATCTTGGGTCTTATGTAAATGAAGGTAATAGTGCCAAGGAGACCCAAATCTAGGAAATGCTGCGTAGTTTGGGGGTACTTACTTCAAAGTATTACTTCCCCTTTGGGTACCCAAGAGGTTAGTGGAAGATTTTGTGCAACCGCAATACATCAGTTGCAGGCAGGTGCGTCACACCAGTCCACCGGAATATGAATTCTTTAGGGGTCCCCGAAGTGACCTGGAAATCAGCAAGATGAAAGTCCTAGGGTTTGTGGCTACGCTCCATGAGAAACAACCCCAGCACTAGCCATTGCAGTGTCGTGAGGCTGCAGCAGACAAGGCCAACGGGGCCAGAGTGAAGGCCATGGCTGAAGCCAGTATGATGATTAGAGCCTGCACCGGCCGGTGGTGAGGATTGGTGGAAAGGCCCTGTGGATGTGGAAGCCACTGTCTTGAGTCATTAGTATAGTTGGGGGAAGAATCATTTACAAAGAAATTATGTAACTTTGTAGGTTTTGTATCTCGTTAGGGTGTATTGCATTTAATATACTGTTAAAATGTATATAAATGAAATTGGTCTTTCTGTAGAGTTTTGCTAGCTTTTTTAAAATGAATTGAAAAACTTTACTGTGATCTTGAAAAGATTATGCAGCGTGGGAATGCTGTTATTTAAATCGTTTGAAGGATCTTAGCATTATGATGATGCAGTAGTAGGGAAAACAGCTGATTCAGTGTCTAGCCTCCAACACTTTGTTTACTGTATATTTTTTAAAAAGACTGACATGCACCATTATTTGCTTAGATGTTATAGTATCTGGAAAAATAATCCAGTAAGTTAGAAGTATACCCTGTACACTTAATAAATTAAACACGTGTTGATAGCATCATGATTTTTTTTGGATACACTATTTTGGGCATTTGAAGATAGACTGTATCGTATTTTTTTAATAGAACTGGGGAATATATACATAAACCAGAAGTTACAATACAGTGAGTTGAAGACTACAAGGGTCACCTACCGCAGTTGTGGTGAATGATCAGGACTGCTTGAGGTTACCTTTGGTAAGTCCCCTCGGACTCTGAGGGTGGGGGTGGGGGAATAGAGCAAGGAAGTGGAAAGGGGAGTGAGGTTAGGGATGGTATTTAAAGACAGACACACCTCAATACTTTGAGAAAAGGACTTGCTACGTGGCAGACTTGGGAAATGTCCGGCATTTGCCTGTGGTCTCGTTCTAGGGGAGTTCGTTGCAGTGTACAGTGATGTTGACCGTGGACATTTTGGCTTCTTCATCTCTCTCTCTCAACCTAAGTTTCACTCTTCTACCAAAGCCCTGAGAAAGCAGCTAGTGCAACAATTCTAGAGTACTATGTAATACGATGGAGCGTACATCTGATGTGTCCTGGTTTTAGGAAGCACGATGGTCCTCCGTGTTTCTATCTGCTGCTTTTCATTCGCGCCCTCCCATTTGGTGGAGACCTGTAATGCATCCCTCATGTTCTTAGTACCAAGAAGCATCTGCTAGCTGATCTGGACTCTGCAGTGCCTGCCACCTCCACTCTGGGGGAGAAATCCTATAGAGAGAGTGTGTATAATAATAGGGAATCTACTGGAATGGAACCCACACCAGAGATGGAGCGGGGTGGATTGTGAAACTGTCTCCCTACAGCTGTCATAAAAGAAGAGTTGCTCTTTGTTCTCTTTGCTGTTAATTTTCTGCTTCCAGTTGTGTCAGATAACATTGCTGAGTGTTTTAAGGTTGGCGTGGAATACAGATAACTTTGGGACAGGTCCCAGGGATGCAACAAATCAGACCGAAGCTGTCAGTTTATTGGGAATGAAGTCTAAGGAAGATTAAAAATATGACTTCTAAGTAGTTTGTAATTCATTAAAACAAAAATACTGAATGCCCACTATTTTGCTAACAACTTTGCTAGGTACCAAGGCTATTAAATTGGAAAGACTAGCTGGTCGTGGTGGCACACGCCTGTAATCCCAGCACCTGGGAGGTTGAGGTAGGAGGATCATTGCGAGTTGGAGGCCAGTCTGGGTTACAAAGTGAGCTCAAGGACAGCCTGAACTGCATAGCGACACCCTGTCTCAAAAAGACAAAATATACATAAATAAGTAAATAAATAAAATGGGAAGACTGAAGCCAAATGCAGTGGGCCACAACTAATTTCAACACTGTGGAAGGCTGAGGCAGGAGGATTGCAAGTTTGAGCCCAATTTGGGCAAGGTAATGAAATCCTGTCTTAAAACAAAAGATAAAAAGGGCTGAGGGTGTATTTTAGGGTGAAGGCCCTTGAGTTTGATCCCCAGTACAATCAATCAAATAGGAAGGCTTTGCCTTCAAAGAACGATAATTTTTTGTTTTTGTATGTTCTTAGTGGCTGAGAGGTCAGTAGTGTGAGTACCTGAGGGTCAAGATTATTTGATGATTTGCCTAAAGTCACTTGGTTGGTAAAAGAGAACATTCAAGACTAGAACCCAAGCCTCTTGCCCCCAAATCCAGCGTGGTTTATTCTAACACATTGTGCCCCGTCCCTGGCCTTCAATATATATTGTGTGTGGTTTTAGTTTTCACAACTCCAAGGAATAAGCAACGCATGTGTAACTAGTTACCTCCAGCTGCCCCTGCCGTCTTTTAAGGGAATGAAGTAGAGTAGAAATACTCCCATTTTATCATGACAGAGATAGCTTTACGCAACGTCAGACATAGTACCTATGGCAAAGACAGGACTAACAACAGCAACGTTTATTAAACATCTGTGGACCAAAGGTATTTTTTCCCCTATTTTTTACAGTCACATTGCAAAGCAGCTAACACTCAATGCCTCCATTTTACAGATACTAATGATAGTAATACTTGACATTTATTAAATTCCTAGGATGATGTTTTAATGATTTTCAGAACAGTCTTACAGGAGAGATACTATCTGTTCCATTTTCGCTAAGCAAATGAACTCAGAAGTTCTCAGAGTCTCACAGAGTCAGAACCAGGATTGAAGCTGGAGTCTGGCTCAGTCAAGAGCCTGCACTTGTCACTGTTTTACATTTCTTTCTTGGGACTCCTTCCAGAGTTGGGTCATCTGTCACCTGACTCCATTCAGACACTACCGTCTCTCTGGAGATGCAAGGGCCATGGAGCCAAGATAATTACGACAAGATGCTGGCCTGCAGGAGGGTAAAAAGGAAGCTAAAATAAAGTTGGGGAATCATCTGTGAACACTGATTCCAGTTCTGCCTACTTTCTTCTTGGCGTTCGCAGGGAGCTGACTACATGCTGAATGTGTAATTTTGCTTAATCTTAGCATATTTGGCCTTTAGAGGCTGTGTTTCCTCAGTGTTTAGTCTGCCCTTTCCTATAAGCCTCAAATTAGTCTTTCATGGCATGGAACAATCAAATAATGCCTGTGGACCTGCAATGTGAATCCCGGCGTTGTTTCCAGATGGTACAGAGGCTGGCAGAACTGCTACCCTTGCCATAGGATGAAAGACTTCCCATGTCACCGATGCCATCATCAACTTCTCAGAAGTGCAGAGAGTGTGGCCTCAGGGCCCATGTGTGGCGCAGACATTGGCCATGGTAAGGGGGAGAGATGGATTGTAGTGCTTATAACCATTCACGGGAGGGAGAAGGAAGACCCAGCTTCCCCATCTCCTTCCCCTTCGAAAACACAGAACTAGATGTTCCTGGGCAAAACACTGTGTGTGTTTGGGGCGGGCAGGATTGAGAATGCAGATGGATTACCCCAGATCATAATTACAGTACAGCCAGGAAGCCAAGCTAGTGAAACAATTCTCTGGGAAGTTCTGAGCGTGTCTTGGAGAATGGGAAAGGTCTCAGTTTGGCCACAGATTCTGACACTCACAGGAGCTGAGATTTCTAACCCATTGGAACTTGGAGGGAGGTGTTTAGAAGGAGACCCAGGCCAGTTACAGCCTCAGTATCCAGCAGACACACAGTGATCCAGAGGTGGCAGCCCATTGGCAGCCTCTGCAAATCAGGTGTGCATTTGCAGGCTCAGTCAGTCTCCACCAAGGTAAGTGTGCTCCATGCCTGGTCATGGGGGCAGCCAATGCTTGTGTGAATTATTCCTCAAATTGTGCAGCCCAGCAGAGATGGCAATAATTAACCTCCCAGCAGGAACAGTGCACTGAGCAAGGAGGTTAGGCATTCTGGAAAGTGTCCTCATGGAGGGCTTTCAAAAGTCACAATGTCAACCTCGGTCGAGGAACTTCAGTCTGAGGAACAAAGAGCTAAGAAAGTTTGGCGGCTGATGGGAAAAGGGGTCCACTGCAAACTGTACCCTACACCCTAGCCTACCAGCCAATGCCAGCCTTTGCCCAGTTCCCAAGCCAAGTTGTGACCAACAACAGTGGCAGCCAGAGGTTATTAAGCCTTTGTGCCAGGCATGGTGCTAAGTATGACAACCACATGGCCCCATGCGTCTGCGTACAACCCTATGTGGCAGGCTTCACATTGCCAGGGTTAGGATACTGTGACAGCGTAGATCTAGATGCCCCCTTAGAGCCTCAGGCATTCATAGGTGGGGCTTTGGGAAGGTGATTGGATTATAGGGAGTTACAGCTGACTTGCTGTTAAGTAAGTCTGGGTGGGTCAGTGGGCATGGCCTGAAAGAATAGCTCACCCTTGGCCATGACTCCCTTCGTGCTCTCTGCTCCCCGGATGCCATGAGATGAGCAGATTTTCCTTCTCAGTGCTCTTCTGCCCTGTTGTCCTGCCTTGGAGCCAGCCAACTATGGACTGAAACAGCCAAAACAAACCTCTCCTAAGTTGTGCTGTTGGGTATTTTGTCCCAGCAATGAGGAAAGTGACTAAGACAGATGGTATGGGAAGCCACAGGAAAGAATAATTCCAGCCTTTCAATGGACAAATTAAAATCACTTCACCAAGTACACGACGAGTAGTTCAGGCAGACCCAGAACCTAAATCTTGCGGGTTCTTGCTGGAATTACACTCACTGGTCCTCACAGAGTTCTTGGAGAGGAACCAGCCTCATGTTGGGAAAATGGGGCTGGAAGGAAATGGAAAAAAAACCTCTGGCACTGCTTACTTACATCAGACCCTGGTATCATACCCTGTAGTTTGTCTGGGCCACGTTGAGTGAAGAAGAATTATCTTGGGGTGCATATAAAATGTATAATATAGTTAATATATATAAGTAACAAAACTTCCTTTATTGTTCTTTTGAACTTTTGTTCTTTTGTACCAGTATTCGCTGTGTTTTCAGGGCAAGTTGCACAAGCACAGCAGGTGACATCTGATACACGCGACTTGCAGTTTGGCTGATTGTGTGTGGCGGGCGCAGGAGGCAGTTAGCACCATGCTGTGACCTCCCCTACACAGTATTCCGTCGTTACCTGTAGCCCTATGTAGTCTGTGCTCGAGCACCATGTAATCATGAAAAAAATCACTAAAAAAAGGATGTGATGATGTCACAAGTTTCCAATGTGGTGGGGCTGCATCACTAGCTGCACTGGGTCACCTGTGGCCATGGGCGTGGGTTTGGACACACCTGCCCTACAGCACCCTGGCTGGAGGATGGAGGCAGTAAGAAGGGCCAGGAGCAAGTTGGTTTCTCTGCTTGTAGGACTCTGCATGGGAGAGGAGCTCATTTTTGAGGGCTGATATCTCTGAGACATCTCCCGGACCTCCTGCAGTAGCCCTGTGTACGTGAGGTGGGGGGCAGCTTAAGCAGCCTGAGAAAGGAGGCCCTAAAGACAGAAGAGGCCTCCTGAAAGGGAAGGGTTCTGGCCCAGGGCAGAGATCTGCACTCTAGTCTCACTCTGCCTATGACAGCAAGGTGGCTTGAGCTTGGTTACCCAACCTCACTGAGCTTTGGTGTTCTGTCAGATATT